ACCCCCAGGGCCTATCTCGAGGCCTACCCCAGGCCAACCCCTAGGGCCTACCCCTAGGCCTACCCTAGGCCAACCCCTAGGGCCTATCCCTACGTTCGTCGTGTTGACCGGTGGCGAGCTTGCCGCGGCGTTCAGCGTTGAACGCCGCCTGCGACCCAGAGTCGGTCGATGCTGACAGATCCGACTTTTCGGGAACAGCCGATCGTTCAAGGTTGAAGGATCCCCGCGGTGTCAGAAACCAGTGCCGAAGTCGCCACGGCACGAACCTGCCGTACGCCCCCCCGCACCCGCTGTTTCAGGGGCAACGGGGGGATGGGCTCAGGGGGGGATGCATCGACCCCCAATCGCCCATTTATCGCCGATGCGGACCTGATAATAGTCCCACCCCGCCCAGGAAGATGCGGATCCGCTGTCGGGAGCATGCCCGCGCGTGCCTTTTGCACTCGGTACCGCTGCCCTGTCTCAGCCCACGGCTCGCGGTCCTGTGGCTTGGCCCCCCGTGCCCAGCGGGGTGAAGCGCGTCCCTCTGTCGCCACGCTCGCCAGCTGGTGTGACCGAGCTCGCCGCTGCCCTCGCCACGTCGTGGCGGCCCTGTGTGCCCGCTGGGCGACAGCAGGCAGTCCTGCTCGAGCCAGGCGCCTCTCTCTTACCCCTCTTCCGCCCCCCCCCTCCCTTCTGCCCCCCCCCCCCCCCCCATCCCTTCGTGCCCTTTCCTTCCTCCTTCCCCTTCCTCTCCCCACCCCCCCCCCTCCCTCCCACCGCACCGTGAGCTCCCCTCCCCTTCTCCCCGCTCCCGCCCCCCTGGCTGCTCCCCTCCCTCACGCCACCCTTCTTGAGACGTTCCGTCCCCCCTCCATCCTTCCTTCCTCCTCCATTCTGCCTCCTCGCCCACATCCACGGCGTCCTGCATCCTCCCTCTCCTCTCTTCTCCTTCCCTCCCCGGGTTGGGCGAAAGAGAAAGGGCGGCGAGGACATGATCGGATCCCTGGTCCGTCACTGGCTGCGGGTGTGGGTTGGGCTTCGGCGGGGCGGTGGGGCCGGGGCTTGGGCTAGGGTTCGGGGCGGGGAGCAAAGGACTAGGCACCGAGACATTCCTTCCCATCCGTCGCGCCCTCTCTGGGTTCCTCTTCACCTTCGCCGCCTCCTCCTTCTCCTCCCGGTCCTTTCCTCGTGCCGCGGTCCCTCTCCCTGCCCCCCTCTCACGCAACAGCCGCCGTGGACACATTGGCCATCACCCTGCAGCCTTGAAGCCCTCCCTCCCTCCCTGCGCAAAGGGGGTGCGGGGCAGGGCCGGGAGGCGCTCGGCGGGGCAGGGCGGGGAGGCCCGCGCCACTCCTCGGCTCCGGGCTCCCCGGCAGGCGGCCGGCCACGGGTGCGGCGCAGCTCGAGGGATGTGTTCGAAGGATCTGCGCTGGAGCAGCTCGTTGGCGTCGGCGGCGAGGCAGGGGTCGTCTGCGCCGGGGCGAGGCGTGCCGCCGTGCAGGAGGGAGGGGGAACAGCGGAGGGCGCGGCCGAGAGAGGGGGGGGGGCCGGCGGACAGGGGGGGGCTGTCTGGCGGAGCAGCCGGCTGGGAGTTGGCGGCGGCCGGGCGGGTGTCGAGAGGCTTCACTGGCGGCTCGGGGCAGCTGGGGGCCACGCGCAGAGAGTCAGCATCGTTTCACCGATCCCCATCCCCATCCCCATGCCCATGCCGAGCCCCACCATCTCACCACCCCAGTTGGGGATGTGCCCCTCGAAACCCGAAGCAGCCTACATCCCCTATCTAGGGGGGTAAACCGGCCGGTGGGGCCCAGGCCACGCGAGTGGGGACAGGGATCGGTGAAACGATGCTCAAGGGGGGGTTAGGGGGGAGGGGGGAAGACCCCTTAGGAGCACCTCCGCTTCTTAGACGGCGCGGGCCTCGTCTACAGATGCAGGGCTGGTGCCTTTCAAGATGCAGCTTCTTTCTAAGGAGCCTTCCCCCCTCCCCCTACCCCCGTGTGCGCGCCACCAACGAGGGGATCTGCCAGCACACGCGCAACTCCCTGATGACGACGACGACGACGGCGACGGCGGCGACGTTAGCGACCACGACGATGACCAGGACGAGGACGACGACAACGACGGCGGCGGCGTCAGCGACGACGACGACGACGACGAGGACGACGGCGAGGACGAGGACGACCCCCGTGTGCGTGCCGCCAAAAGCACTTCTTCCCGCGGGTCCGGCGCACACGCAGGACAGTCGCACAGCACAGGGCCGCCACAATGTGCAGCAGACGCGTGCGCGGCACGCGACGCAGGCAAAGAAGGTGCAGGGTTGTGGACGACGATATATGTCGGGGGCGGCAAAGAGGGAGGTGATGACTAGGGGGGGATATCATGGCGGCCCATGATATTTCCCCAGATGTCATTGCGCCTCTTCTTATTTCATTACGTCCCTGACCCCCCCCGCTGGGCCGCGCACATGCCGCCAGTCATGATTTGCACCCCCCCTGTTAGACATCCCTCTCTTGGCCGCTCCCGACAATGGAGAGGAAGCATGTTGCCAAATAATTTCCAAATGTCTAAAACATGTCTTAAACATGCCTTTAACATGTTTAACAACATGTTTTAAGCATGTTCAGAAAAACAATGATCGGATTGTGAGGGTGTCCATAGTCATGGCCACCACAAGCGCGGGGCGGCCGCGGAGCGGGATGAGAGTCGGCGGCTGGGGTGGAATCGAAGCACAAGAAACGGCAGAAACAGAAACTTTTGGCGCTCCGCGCGGATGTCTTGGACCTGCGCTGGGACCCCCACCCGGCAGCGCCTCCGGCGCCGCCCCTGGCGCGCTCCGCGCGCCAGGAAGGGGGGTCCAGCGCAGATCGAAGAAATCCGCGCGGACCGTCGACAGTTCATGCTTCTGTCGTTTTTTCTTCTCCTAGGGAAGTGGTGAGAAGGAGAAGGTCTTCTCAGAAGGCGGCGGGGCTTCTCAGAAGCCCTCGCGCCTCCTCAGCAGCTTTCTGCGTCTTCGGGGAAGGCTCAGAGAACTTCTCAGAAGCCAGGGGACTTCCCCGAGACTTCCGGCCTTCCCCTTCCCATTCCCCCCCCCGCTCGCCGCCGATCCTCAGACCTTAAAAAAGGTCTTCTGCGCTGCGACAGGCGAGAGCCTTCAGTGTGAGTCAGGCTGGAGGGCCGGTGTGAGCCAGTGCGTGGCCGACGGCTCGTGGTCTGCTGCCGCCCGGCGCCCCTTCCCCCGTAGCAGCCGCTGCCTCGCCCGCGCGGGCGCCTCGCCCCGTGGCCACGGGCGGGCGCGGCTCGAAGGAGCTGCTGGCGGCGGCGGCGGGGAAGCGTGAGACTGTCAGGCGATCGCAAGCATGGATCAGGGGGGCGCAGATTTAGCGACGGGTCCCGTTTCCATGGGAAATCGCGGATATCCACCGCCGAGCGAGGCGGCACCGGCCGCATCTCGGGGAGGGCGCACCTCCCCCGACCCATGGATCTGGCGACCGCGCGCCAAATCCCTGGATCGCTGATCCATGTTTGCGCGCCCCCGAGGCTCGAGTTCGCAGGAGCTCGGGTTTGCTGGCGCAGTCTGACGGGCCCGTTCCAGATCTTTTGGGCCTCCCGGATGGATCAGGAGGGGAAAAAACACACAGACACAATTATTCGTTGACTCCCAGAAAATATGCAAAAATATGGGAAGTGGGGGGGAAGACAAAAACCCAGAAAATATAGGAACATATGGGGAATAGTTTTATTTGTGTGTATTTATTTGTGTGTCCCAGTTCCCCTTCAATGGATGGGGCCTTTTGTCCTACCCGTGGCCTTTGGCCTGCGGGTCGCAGCCCCCGACCCAGACCGAGCGGACAGCAAACCTGCGATGGTCGCCCCCGGCCGCCTTCGCGCTGCCAGGGCGGCGGGCGCGCGCAAGGTCACGGCGCAGTGCAGACAGGAGGAGGAGGAGGAGGAGGAGGAGGAGGAGGAGGAGGAGGAGGAGGGAGGAGGAGGAGGAGGAGGAGAGGAGGAGGAGGCGGAGGAGGAGGAGGAGGAGGAGGAGGAGGAGAGGAGGGAGGAGAGGAGGAGGAGGAGGAGGAGAGGAGGGAGGAGGGGAGGAGGGAGGAGGAGGAGGAGGAGGAGGAGGAGGAGAGGAGGAGGGAGGAGGAGGAGGAGGAGGAGGAGGAGTAGGAGGAGGAGGAGGAGGAGGAGGAGGAGGAGGAGGAGGAGGAGGAGGAGGAGGAGGAGGGTGAGGAGGAGGAGGAGGAGGAGGAGGAGGAGGAGGGAGGAGGAGGAGGAGGAGGAGGAGGAGGAGGAGGAGGAGGAGGAGGGGAGGAGGAGGAGGAGGAGGAGGAGGAGGAGGAGGAGGAGGAGGATGGAGGAGGATGGAGGAGGAGGTGAGGAGGAGGAGGAGGAGGAGGAGGAGGAGAGGAGCGGGATGAGGAGGAGGCGGAAGAGGCGGAGGAGGAGGAGAAGGAGAGGAGGATGAGGAGGAGGAGGAGGAGGAGGAGGGCGCAGCAAACAGACGCGCCCCCTCCTTCCTTCTCTGCTCCCGCCCCGCTCCACGGGTGGGGGGGCGGCCAGCCGGCCGGCCCGCGGCGCAGGCCCCCGTGGCCGACCCGCGCCGCGGCCTCTGACGGCCCGAGTCCGCAGATCCGCCCACGCGCATCGGAGAGCAAAAGCTGCACAGGAGCACAGAGTCGGCCCTGATCAGCAGGTCGACCCTGCCAAGGCGAGGGTACCCTCGTGTCCTGCGCGTGGCGACCTCTTTTTGTGCATTCCTGTGGCCACGTGGCCCTCGGAAGGGTCTCATGTCCTCTCGCGTGTCCTCTCGCGTGTCCTCTCCGATCAGGTCCGCTTGCAGCTTTCGAGGGGCCCGCGCGGCCTTCTCGGGCAGGCTCTGGGCCCCCACTGGCGGCTCCGCCGGTGCCGCCCCGAGCTCGCCCCGCGCGCCCGGGGGAGGGCCGGGCGTCGAGCTCGGCAAGCCGCGCGGGCCTCTCGGAAGTTGTGTGTGTTGTGCGGTGTTTGTCTCTTCTACGCAGGCGCCCCCCCCCCCGGAAGGCGGCGGCTCTGGTGCCTGCGACGCGCGATGGGCAACGGGCTCGCTGGCTGCGACGGCAGCTCGGCCGTCCACGACGGTCGCTGCTGGGTAAATCGTCGGAGTCAGAAATTTGCCCGTGCGCGGGATCCCGCAAAGTGCCCACAGGGCGGGAAATAAGCACCCTCCCCGCTGCCTGCTTGCTCTCTCTCTCTCTCTTTCTCTTTGGCAGCCGTCGCTATGTGTGTCTGCCTCGCTAGCGTGCAGCAGCCCGCCGATGGCGTGTTTGTGTGTTTTGTTTGTTTGTTTGTTTGTTTGTTTGTTTGTTTGTTTGTTTGTTTATTTGTGTGTCTATGTGTTTGTGCGTGTTTGTGTGTGAATGCGTATTTTCGTTGTTGTTGAACATTATTAATTCTAAAGAATAATTATTGTTGGGACCCCTGGTGCACGGCCCCCCTGCGCCGCCTAGGCCGCAGCTACATTTTCATCATTTTCGTGAGGAAGCCTCAGGTAATTCGATGTGATCAAGATCCGGTTGTTTTGTTCCCCCCCGCTTTCCCTTGCAAAAAACACTATAAAATGACATTTCTTGTTCTAATATAATCAAATTTCAAGAATCCCTTGCAAAAAATAAGGTAAAGTGGACATTCGCGCGCGCAAGACGAAATCCTTCCAAAAGCTTAGTGTTCGGAGCGATTTTAACATAAAAACATCAAAAAACCAATGGTTTTTCAACAAAAAATGTCAAAATCTCATCCCGCGCGCTCTTGCGGATTCGTAGGAAACCCAACACTTTTTAAACATTTCTGTCAAACGGGCTTTTGCGAGCAACTTTTTCGAACTTCTGCGACAACGGTTGCGCACCTGCCAGGGCCATCATCCCTGTCAAATAATACCATGCGGGACACATTCGTTTTTTCTTCGCGCGCGCACGCCGAAATCTCCAAAAACCGTGGAATCATGCAACAGATGTTCTGTGGAAGGCTTAACAACTTCTGTGGGTTAACAAGGCTTAACAACTTCTGTGGGTGTACGAACGTAGGCTTAACAACTTCTGTGGGTGTGTACTCCACGCCAGTGTAGTAGCCACGGTCGTCCGCAGGCCACGAAGTGAAGTGTCCGAACGTCATAGGGCGGGAAGCTGGGTGTGGGTGGTGGCGAAGAGTCGTGTGGATATTTGGTAGAGCTTGCACTGCCCCCCCACAAAGTGGGGTATTGGCTGGCGTCGCATGAAAACCCTGGCACTGGTGAGAACACTGAGCGTTCGGGTAAAGTGATTGTTGTTGTTGTTGTTGTTGTTGTTGTTGTGTGTGTGTGTTTGTGTGTGTGTCTGTCTGTCTGTCTGTCTGTCTGTCTGTCTGTCTGTCTGTCTGTCTGTCTGTCTGTCTGTCTGTCTGTCTGTCTGTTTTCGTACCTTCATCATGTATGTATGTAATTTTCTAAGTGTGCATGTGTGCATGTGTGTATGTGTGTATGCATGTATGTATGTATGCATGTATGCATGTATGCATGTATGCATATATGCATGTATGCAGGCATGTATGTATGTATGTATGCATACATGCATGTATGTTTGTATGTATGCATACATGTGTATGTTTGTATGTATGTATGCATGTATGTATGCATGCATGCATGCATGTATGTCTGTATGTATGCATGTATGCATGTATGTATGTATGTATATATGTATGTATGCATGAATGTATGTATGCATATATGTATGTATGTATGTGTGTATGTATGTATGTTTGTATGTATGTATGTATGTATGCATGCATGCATGCATGCATGCATGCATGCATGCATGTATGTATGTATGTATGTATGTATGTATGTATGTATGTATGTATGTATGTATGTATGTATGTATCAGTATGTATGTATGTATGTATGCATGTATGTATATATATATATATCTGTATGTATGTATTTAGGTATGTATGACTGTTTGTTTGTATGTATATATAAATATACATGTATGTTTGTATGTATGTACACATCTGTTTTTGTGGTGGGGGCTTCGTGGGTGGGTGGGTGGGGTGGGTGGGTGGGTTGGTCGGACTGTCTTGTTGTCTGTTTGTCGTCCCGTCTCTCTCTCGCCCTGCCTTCCGATCGCGCGGGCGGCCTGCCCAGGCCAGACGGTGCTCGGCGGCGGCTCCCTCGACCTCGACGGGGACGCCGACGGCGGCAGGCGGGCGCACCTGCTCCTCCCGCCGGGCGCCCCGCCCCGCCCCTGGCGGGGCCTCGGGCCGCCGCGTCGCCCCCCGCCCCCCCCACCCCCTCGGAGCTCTCGCGTCGGGGATCGGGCAGGGGGCCTGTCGTTCGTCGACGAGGGGGTGGTGGCTCCGCTCCGTCGTCGCGTGGGGCGGGGGAGGGGGGCCTTCGTGGACTCTTTGGGGCATTTTTGGGATATTGTTAGTTTTTCGTCGAAAGTCCCCCTGTAGGGGGACAGGCCCGACATAAGGCTTGTCTCGCCTCGGGGTGCTTCCCAGCAGCCTCCAGGCCTCCTGGATGGGGTCCGAGCAGCTGGGGTCGGAGGATCGCGCCGCACCGTCGATGCATCGACGATGCGGTTCGATGTAGAGCCCGTGTTCCCCCACGCCGAAGTCGCCGATGCAGCTTCGCCGACGTCGCCGATGCATCGCCGATGCATCGGCGATGCGTTGTCGATGCGGCGGGATCGTTCGACCCCATCTACTCCGACCCTACCTAGGAAGCTTCTACAGCCTCGGGACGCTCTGCTGCGGCCGGGCCTCGTCGAGGGCGTTCCAGGGGTGACCAGGTCTCCCCAAGCGGCCGCCGGAGGCCAGAGTTGTGGCTTGGAGGCTCGGGTCTCAGATGATTTGCCGTTTTGAGCCTTTGTTTTTTCGCAGGTTTTTGCCTCCAGGGGTCGTTGTCGTGCCCCAGGGCCACGAGGGACTTGGCCGGGGCGAAACGCTGCCCCCCAGGGGAAGGGGTCGTGACTTTCCTGGGGGCGCGGATTCAAGATGCCCTGTGACGTACCCGATCCTGTTGCATCAAGGGACCAGAGGGGTTGGCCCACGTTTGCCAAGACAGTGACAGTGCAGGCGCCGTTGTTTGTTGTGTAAGCTACGTTGGATAGGCGCACGTGGCATGATCCATACGACAACAATGGAAGGACGAGGAGCGAGGGCCCAGGCTCGAAGAGGACGTGGGTGTGGGAAACCAAGAGCAGGAAAAGGACGCGAGGGAGGCCGAACAGTCAGCGCGGCAGCAGCAGAGAGAAGGTGACAGGGGGAGTTGGACGACGACGAACGCGACGGGAGGAGAGAGGACAGTGCTGCTTTTGTCGGTAGTGCGCTAAAGATGCAGCGCTGCCTGCGCCATGTCGCCGCGGCGATCGAAAGGATCGAACCTGCCTAGAAGCTGGTGCAAGAAGCGAGCGAGGTATAGCGCGCCCGCTAGCTTCTCTGCCTCCTTCCTGCACTTTTCAGTGCGGGCGCTGAACGGTCGAAGGCGCGCCGCCAGGTCTGCGGGCGGCCCGCGGGCCAAGAAATCCAGGCCAGGGTCGCGTAGGTTCTCCACGGTCGTCGCCCTGGACAGCATCACGTAAAGATGCACCCGGCGTCCACAATGACTCCGCGTTGTACGGTGCGGCCCTGGCAGGCCGTTGGCGTCATGACCTCGGCATGAGAGATGGCTGCGCCGGTGCGCGTGCCTTCTGCTTGCGGGAGTCAGCCGGGCGTGAACTCTGCGGCTCGACGAAGACGAAGCGCGCCGCGTCCGCGGCGTCGATGCTGTCATCGAACTCCGAGAGTTTCTTGCCGCAGGGGCCGGCTTTGTAATTTTCCATGCGCGCCCACTCGCGGTGCGGCAGGTGCCGCAGTTGCGCCGTGCGTCGCTCGGCTCTTGCTGCCTCCACCTCGTCCTCATCTTTCGGGTTGACGTCCACGTGGACGACCTTGCCCTTGGCGTCCTTGACGAGCCTTCTGGTCTGGTCCACGTGCTCCAGCAGGCGGATGCGCATGCCCGCGCGCACGGGTAGCATCCCGTGCATGCTGCCATTGTCACCCGGGTTGGCGCAGATGACCAAAGTGGCGACGGTTTCGCAGATCGCAGCTCCCCAGGGATGGCGAGGTCTAGTCTGAACCTGGGCGGTGCCTCGCTCTGCGTGACCCCCCAGTAGCCCTCGAAAGTGGCGACAGGTTCGCAGATCGCAACCCAACAGGAATGTTGAGGTTTAGTCTGAATCTGAGTGGTGCCTCACTCCGCTGGACCCCCCAGTAGCCCCCGAACGTGGCGACAGTATTGCAGATCGCAGCTCCCCAGGGATGGCGAGGTCTGATCTGAATCTGGGTGGTGCTTCGCTCCGCTGGACCCCCAGCAGCTCTCGAACATGGCGCCAGTTTCGTAGATCGCAGCCCCCCAGGGATGGCGAGGTCTAGTCTGAATTTGGGTGGTGCCTCACTCCGCTGGACCCCTCCAGCAGCGCTCGAAAGTGGCGACACTTTCGCAGATCGCAGCCCCCCAGGGATGGCGAGGTCTAGTCGGAATCTGGGTGGTGCCTCATTCCGCTGGACCCCTCAGCAGCCTTCGAAAGTGGCGCCAGTTGCGCACATCGCAATCCCCCGGGATGGCCAGGTCTAATACGAATCTGGGTGGTGCCTCACCCCGGTGGACCCCCGAGCAGCCGTCGAAAGTGGCGACGGTTTCGCAGATCGCAGCCCCCCAGGGATGGCGAGGTCTAGTCGGAATCTGGATGGTGCCTCATTCCGCTGGACCCCTCAGCAGCCTTCGAAAGTAGTGCCAGTTTCGCAGATCGCAGCTCCCCAGGGATGGCGAGGTCTAATCTGAATCTGGGTCGTGCCTCGCTCCGCCAGGCCTCCAGCAGCCATCGAAAGCGGCGACAGTTTCGCAAATCGCAGCCCCCCCCAGGCATGGCGAGGTCTAGTCGGAATCTGGGTGGTGTCTCGTTCCGCTCGGCCCCCGGCAGCCCCCGAAAGTGGCGACAATTTTGCAGGTCGCAGCTCCCCAGGGATGGCGAGGTCTAATCTGAATTTGGGTGGTGCCTCATTCCGCTGGACCCCCCAGCAGCCCTCGAAAGTGGCGACAGTGTCGCAGATCGCAGCCCCGCCCCGGTCCGCTGGACCCCCGAGCGGCCATCGAAAATGGCGACGGTTTCGCAGATCGCAGCTCCCCAGGGATGGCGAGGTCTGATCTGAATCTGGGTGGTGCTTCAGTCCGTTGGACCCCCAGCAGCCCTCGAAAGTGGTCCGCTAGACCTCCAGCAATCCCCGAAAGTGGCGCCAGTTTCGTAGATCGCAGCCCCCCAGGGATGGCGAGGTCTAGTCTGAATCTGGGTGGTGCTTCACTCCGCTGGACCCCCCAGCAGTCTTCGAAAATGGCGACACTTTCGCAGACCCAAGCCCCATAGGGATGGCGAAGTCATCTGGATCTGGGTGGTGCCTCGCTCCGCTGGACCCCCCAACACCCCCCGAAAGTGGCGACAATTTCGCAGATCGCAGCTCCCCAAAGGATGGCGAGGTCTAATCTGAATCTGGGAATCTGGGTGGTGCCTCAATCCGGTGGATCCTCCAGTAACCTTCGAAAGTGGCGACAGTTTAGTCGATCGCAGCCCCGCAGGCATGACCAGGTAGGAAGCAAGCTGGCACGCAGGAGGGAGCGAGGTAAGAGGCATGTAGGAAAGATGAAGAGGAGGGAGGCGGGAAGGGGGAAAAAGAGACGCGCGTGCAGTGCTCTATTCAAAGCGAGTGCCCAACGCAGGAGGGTTGGGGAAACAATTTTGTTTTCCTGTGGCTGGCGAGGAGCCTCTTGGGCTGTGGCACACTCAGACCCCCCGACGGTTTGCTTCCTTCGTGCCGCGGACCCCCATAGGTCAGGACCCCTTCCCAGGGCCGTCCCCCCGAATTTTTTTTGGGGGGCCCGGTGAGGGCCCCTGGAATCGTCTATACGTAAGAGTGACCGTCCGCCACAGTGACTTATGGTGCACGCCCAATAGGTTCCCCCGATCGCCAAATTCGAGGCGGCAGTGGCGTGTTGCGCGATTGTTTGGCCTTGCGGCCCCAAAAAATCCGCACACCAAAGGTCACTCTTACCCAGGGTCACTGCTGCGTGTAGCCGATAGAGGCCGAAGGTTGCCAACAACCTCCCGTCCTGTCTTTCTCACCTCACGGCTTCCCAATGCGCAATTCTCGCTCCCGTCCTCCACGTCCTCCTCCTCCTCCTGCTCCTCCTTCTCCTCCTTCTCCTCCTCCCCCTTCTCCTCCATCTCCTCCTTCCTCTCCTCCTTCTCCTCCTCCTCCTCCTTCTCCTCCTCCTCCTCTTCCTCCTCTTCCTCCTCCTCCTCCTCTTTCCCCTCCTCCTCCTCCTCCTCCTCCTCCTCCTCCTCCTCCTCCTCCTCCTCCTCTTCCTTCTCATTATCTCGAGGGGATGGGGTGAGGAGGGCGCCGAGAGTTCCCCCGCTCGCTGCGGTGGGCGCGGCAGGTCCCAGCGGGAGGCTTCGCGGCCCCGCCGGGCCCGCGGGGGCCTCCACGCCCCGACATGCAGTGTTCGGGGGCGATGTGGGGCGGATAGCCCAGGGGAGAGCAATGCGTGTATCCAGCGGCGCTGATGACCCATGTCTTCGGCGAGGCTCCCAGGCGAATACGTGTGAGGCCCGCCCCTGGGCCACTCGCCCCCATCGTCGCCCCCAGGATGTCTTGAGTTTTGCAGTGCGCAGTCTCCCGGAGTCCTGACCCTTTCTCCAAGGTCGGTTTTTCATTCCGAGCCGTGCTTTGGGGGGCCCGAGGCCCAGCGAGGGCCTCTGGAAGCCGAAAGCGTGCGAAAACCTACCTTCGTGATCTTTAAGAGCGACGAGAGCATGTCTGGGCATAGGCCCCCGGCGCCGCTTGGCCACCCGTGCGACCCAGGGCCGGCCACCTCGTTTTTTGTTGTTGTAGTCGCAAGAGCGTGGTAGTGGCAGTCGCAAGAGCGTAGGAGGGCATAAGCCCTTGCATCCCTTGCGCATCCCTTCCGCATCCCTTGCGTGGGAGGACAGAAGCCCTGAAATCACGACCAGGGCCGCAGACTCCATCCCTCAGCGGCCTTTTCCCTGCCGGATCGATCTGCGACGGTCCCTGGGCCCGAAGGAGGGCGGAGTCGCCCGCTGTGAAGAGGTGTAGCGCCAGGAGCTCAGGGAGCGTGTGGCGCAGAGTTGGTGGGGAGGGGGGCAAGAGGGGGGGGGCGAAGCACTGTGCGGCCGCGACCCGTCTGCGGCAGAGGCCTGAGCGCGGGGACACGCCGGTACAAAACTCCACGGGCGCGGGGCTGTGTAAAGTCGACCTGAAGTCGGGCATGTCCCTTGAAAGGGGGAATCTTCGAAAATAGTAAGAATACTCTGGGGACATTTTTTTGACTGTTTTTGGCTACTGTGGAATACTTTTGACTGTCTTTAATGTTCCTTTCAAGATCCGCCTGTAGGAGGACATGCCCGACCTAAAGTCAACCCGCATAGTAAGGGTGGACAACCTTCCAAAGGGTACCCTCGTATCCTTGCCTCCTGGCCATCCTTGGCCACTTTCGTTGGCCGCGCTCCGCTCACGGAGCTCCAAGGCCCTTGCATCCTTATCGTTCGTCCTTCTGATACGGGGTGGCCGTAGCATGAGAGCACGCCATGGATTGTCAGCGAGGCCGTCCTTGTCGATCCGATGCCTTCGCGAGATTTGAACAGCTGGCAGGGCGCCCGGGTCGGCTGCCGACACGCTTTTTTTGGTCGTCACGGGCGGGAGCACCTCCTCACCGTCCAGCATGCGCGCGGAGAACCGCGCGAGAGCCTAGCAGCCGCGACACGCGCGCACACCTAGAGATCCGTTGTCTTGATTTTGGGATCACGGGGTCTCCGGAAGCCTCGACCCACTCGCGGGGACTGGCTTTTCATCCTGCGCCGTTCTTTGACGGTCCCAGGGCTCGAGAGCCGGAGACGGCGAAGAACCTTCCGTCTTGATTTTTTCAATACGCTGGACTCCAGAGGTTTTGGCCCCTTTCCGGGGACCGGTTTTTCATCTTGAGTTGTTCCCAACCATCCTGTGGTGTTGGGTCCTCGTTTTGAAAAGGCTGCGCCCCGCGTTCTCCTTACTCTTTCCTTTCTCCTCCCCCTCCTCCCTCCCCTCTCTCCTCCGATCCCTGCCTCTGCCCTCCGAACCAGTCAGCCATTGTGGTACACCCCTCACACGTTTCGGGGCCCTATAGGAAGCCCCACCGAGGGCCCACATGCCAGCGTTCGCATGCGGCCACCGCATCCATTTTGGCACACCCCTCACACGCGTCGGGGCCCTATAGGAAGCCCCACCGAGGGCCCACATGCCAGCGTTCGCATGCGGCCACCGCATCCATTTTGGCACACCCCTCACACGCGTCGTGGCCCCATAGGGAGCTCCACCGAGGGCCCCAGATGCCAGCGTTCGTATGCGGCCACCGCATCCATTCTTGCACCCCTCACACGCGTCGTGGCCCCATAGGGAGTTCCACCGAAGGCCCAGATGCCAGCGTTCGCAGGCACCTACCGCACCCATTTTGGCACACCCCTCACACGCGTCATGGCCCCATCGGGAGCCCCACTGAAGGCCCAGATGCCAGCGTTCGCAGGCGGCCACCGCACCCATTGTGGTACACCCCTCACACGTTTCGTGGCCCCGTAGGGAGTTCCACCGAATGCAGTGCATACAACGGCGGTGCCCACAGCTGCATATGGTTGGGTCCTTCGCCAGGGTAATTTTTTGACGCTCCCGAGGCTTGGTAAGGACCCAGAGGCCAAAAACGGCGAACAACCCTCGGTCCCCTGAGATCAGACGTTGCCAAACATTGCAACATGGCGAAAACCGCGACTGGAGTCCTAGACCCCATCCTTATGCGTCATTTTTGAGCCAGGACGATCTGTGAGGGTCACGGGGCCCGAAACCGGGCGAAAACGACCGTTGTGACCAAACTTGCATCGCCAGGATCTTCGGGGGCGGCCAAAAGGGGGGTGACGACTAGGGGGGGGTGCATATCATGGCGTGGGCCATGAGATTTCCTCAGATTTCATGGCCCCTCTTCATATTTCATTACGTTGCCAGCCCCCCCCCTTGGGCCGCGCACGTGAGGCCGGCCATGATTTGCGCTCCCTCCTCTTCGACGCCCCCATCTTGGCCGCCCCCGAAAAATTGCATCGCCCGGATCCTTGACTTTGTCAGCTCGTGGGGGTCTGGGGCACGCACGCGGCTGATCCGCGGGGAGGAGCGCAAGGCTCCAGCCGCTCGCAGAAGGGGGCCATGGGGGAAGGGGAAGGCTTCTTAGAAGCACCCCTGCTTCTAAGAAGCCTTTCGGGGGTGGACAGAACTCCCACCCTGACACGTTGATTAGTGAATTGTCCGTTTTCGGTTCTCGAGAGGGCGCCGCGGCCGTCATTTTCCAGGCTTGCGCCCGCCAGGTTTGGGCCCGAGGTCGTTTTCACTAAACCACGTTTTACTGAAGAGGGTTCTGTCCATCCCCGAGCCTTCTCCCCTCACCCTACCCCTCCTGTTCGGGTGTTGCTAGGAGTGCCCATGGCCCAAGGTGCCCCCAGGATCCTCGGGGTGGCCCAGACGGCCTCCAGAGCACCCCGCCCGAGGCCCAGAGGGCCCCAGGGGCTCCAACATGGAGCGAAAAGCTGGGGGCACCTTGGGCCAGGGGCACTTCTAGCATTTGGTCGGGCATGTTCTCCATCATCGAAAATATGGAAAAATCAAACATAGTCGACAAATCGTCCCCGGACTATGTTTTGACTATTTTTGAATTTTTACCTTGTAGAGGGACATGCCCGACCTCCGCCAAAGGCTGCCGCCGCCGCTGCCGCTTACAAGCCGCCCGCCTCCCCAGGGGACGGGGCAGCCGGGGCGACCGGGACGCGCGCAGGACGGGGTCCGGCGGGCCCGGCCCCCCTCCTCCTCCTCCTCCTTCTCCTCCTCCTCCTCCTCCTCCTTCTCCTCCTCCTCCTCCTCCTCCTCCTCCTCCTCCTCCTCCTTCCTCCTCCTCCTCCTCCTCCTCCTCCTCCTCCTCCTCCTCCTCCTCCTCCTCCTCCTCCCCCCTCGGGGCGTGCCGCGGAGCCGTCTCCCCTGGGGCCGGCCTTCTTCAAGGGCTGCCGCTCCCAGGGAGCCGAGCAGGGGATTTACAGATGCTCGTTGCGGGGGCCTTCCTTCTGTATCGGTTAACCGGTCTCCATCCCCATCCTCATCCCCTTCGAGACCCCCACCAAATTATACCCCCAGTTGGGGATACGCCCCTCGAAACCCGAAGGATACGGCCTACATCCCCATCTAGGGGGGTAAATCGGCCAGTGGGGCCCAGCCCACGCTGGTGGGGATGGGGATCGGTTAAACGATACTCATTCCTCTGGGCCCCCCCAAAGGGAGCAGTTCTTCTCTCGTGCGACCGAATGTGGACTCGAGCTCAGCTCGAGTTTGACTCAGGTTCGACTCAGGTTCGACTCGGGTTCGACTCAGGGTCGACTCGAGTCGGCGGACGTTCGACGCAGCTTCGACGCACGAGTGGAGCGAGTGTCTCCAGGAAGGTCCCCAGAGTGAACATCCAAGGGGATCGACTGCAGAATTGACTTGCCCCATTCTGATTTTCCCGCCGAATCTTCGGGACATGGGTCGAGGGCTCTGTAGATCTGCGGGACATTCAACGTGCTTCTGGTAGATTCGACGGCAGAAGGAACTGTGAGGTAAGTCAATTCTGGAGCGGCCGGTTTTTGCCTGTTTCCGGCTTCTGGGGGCCCTCAACGGACCCAGGGGCTGTAACGAAAGCGGTTCAGAGGATGAAAAGCCTGCAAACTGCAAGTGCTTCACCCCTCCCGGAGCGCCGGATGCCTGGGCTCCGCCATCCCCTCAGACCCAGGCCCTGCATTTTTTATATATACGACGGGCGTTTTCGCCTGGTTTCGGGCCCCAGGACCCTCACGGATCGATCCGGTCCAAAAAATGGCGAAAAAGGATGGGACTAATTGGGTTTCCAGTCGTGGTTTTTCGCCATGTTGGATTTTTGTTGCTGCGTCAGATCTCAGGGCCCCTCAGTGGGCCTTGGAAGCGGCAGGGCATTTTCTTGGTCTTGGAGAGGATTTCAAGAACATGCTTCTTAACAGTGACAAGAGCTGCAAGACAAGTGTCACCGAAACTGTAAGAGAAAGGGTTCACCGACACGGCCTGGGCAGCCTGGGGATCCCGAAGGACGTTCGGAAACCGTTCCAAAACGGTTCGGATCAGATTCGGAAACGTTGCCCTCGTCGACCCCCTCGTGACCGATTTCTTTTTGGGCTTGGCCAGCTCAGACCCCCTAGCCGCCTTCAAACTCCGCCCTCCTCGTAGAGTTCCTCCTCCTCCGGGGGTCTGGGTCCTCCTCCTTCCTCCTCCTCCTCCTCCTCCTCCTCCTCCTCCTCCTCTGGGGGTCTGGGTTCTCCTCCTCCTCCTCCTCCTCCTCCTCTGGCGCGTGCAGGGGTAAGGATCTGACGTCGGTCGCCCATACTCTGGGGTGCGAGGCCCTCTGGCAGGACGGAGCTGGGAGGGGAAGGGAGGAGGAGGAGGAGAAAGAGGATGATGATGATGATGATGATGATGATGATGATGATGATGATGATGATGATGATGATGATGATGATGATGATGATGATGATGATGATGATGATGATGATGATGATGATGATGATGATGATGATGATGATGATGATGATGATGATGATGATGATGATGATGATGATGATGATGATGATGATGATGATGATGATGATGATGATGATGATGATGATGATGATGATGATGATGATGATGATGATGATGATGGGGAGGAGGCCCACTTGGAGGGTCGCCACGCTGGCCCCTCGTGGAGCTCTGGCGTCTGCAGGGGTGTGGGCACGGCGTCGGTCGCCCCCCGCTCCAGGGTGCGAGCCCCCCTGGGCAGGACGGAGCTGGGAGGGGAGCTGAGAGGGAAGGAGGAGGAGGAGGAGGAGGAGGAGGAGGAGGAGGAGGAGGAGGAGGAGGAGGAGAAGAAGAAGAAGCGGGAGGGGGAGGAGGAGGAGGAGGAGGAGGAGGAGGAGGAGGAGGAGGAGGAGGAGGCGGGTGGCCGGGTCAGGTGCGCGCTTTCTGTTCCCACTCTGCTCACTCAGCAATTAGGCTTCCAGTGTCTATTCGCTCTGCAATCACACTGGCTTCCGTTGTTTTTTGGCGTCCTCCTTCCTCTCCCCTTCCCTCTCCCCTCTTCCCTTCGGCTCGTTCCCTTCTCCCCGCAAGTCCCCGCCAGCTCTCTGCTGCCCCTGCAGCTGCGGCTCCCTGCCGCCCCGGCCAAGGCGGGGGGCGCGTCGATGGGGGCGCGCCTCCGACGGGCGCGCCTCGGACCTCTTTTTTGTCGGCGCCACCCCAACGTGCTGACACTACAGTCAACCCGCATAGTAAGGACGAGCGACTTTCCAAGGCAACCCTTGCATCCTGCTGCTTCGGCCCATCCTTGGCCGCGCTCGCTGGCGCGCCTCGGACCTTTTCGTCCGCGTCGCCCCAAACTGCTAGGACTACTCCGGAGGGGAGCAAAGCACACAGGCACAACTCAACGTCGAGCCCCAGGAACATGTGGGAACATGTGGGAAGTGGAGGGCAAGACGAGCATCGAAAAGATATTATGGGGATTCCTGGGACTTGTGTTTACATGTTTGAACGACAGCCAACCCGCATAGCAAGGACAGGCGACTTTCCGAGGTTACCCTTGCCTCCTTCCGGTTCGGCCCATCCTTGGCCGCTTCCGCTGGCCGCGCCCCGTTCGCACAGTGTCGACGTGGCCTTCCAAGGCCCTTGCATGCTCATCGCGCGTCCTTATGATACGGGTTGACTGTATGTATGCGTCGCACCCCAAGGGGGCGACCCGCGCACCGAGAAAAAGCTCCGTGGCGGACGCTCTTTGGCCGTGCCGCGCGGGAAACGACCTACTACAAAAATTGTTGTGCCATGTGTTCGGGTCGGACGCGCGCATCCGAGCAGGGCACGTCGTATCAGTATGTCCTTGTGCGTCCCATTCTGCGCGTGCTCAGAGGGGCAAGAGGTGACGAGGATGGCACGTTCCAGAATTTCCAGTGCCCCCAGGAGCTCCAAGCTCTCCCGCCGTTATGCTCCACGTGGGCTGCAGAGGCGGGGGCCGCTGGATGCTCCAGGATTCCCGGAGCGCATCCCGAGCTTGGAAGCAGCCAGGGGGGTCTGCGCTGGCCGGGCCCGAGAAAATCTCATGACCAGATCCGTGCAACATTGGGCCCTGGACCCCTCCTGGGGTCGAGCCTGGCCAGTGTTTCGAGCTGCGTCCAGCCGCGGCGACGAGGCGTGCCTTCCGCCCCCCTTTCTGCTGGTAGGGGCCAGTGCTGGGCCACCTCGGCCCCCCCAGCAGCTCCAGTCCCGAGCCAGTCGTGTCATGACATCGCTCTCGTCCTGCTTGCGAGCCCCCCGCCGAGGAAGACGGTCGAACAGGCGCGCGAGTGGCAGCGCCAGATCCGGGGCGAAAACCGGCAGCTGGAGCGCGACATGGGCCGCATACGCCAGGCCCCTGCCGTTTGGAATATCTTCGTTGCACTCAGATTCAGATTTGTGACGCTGTATATATATATATATATATATATATTCCTCTTCCTATATTTTTACAAGCCCGGGGGGGTGGGAAAACCGTCCCCCCCCCGTGAAAGGCCTCATCCCAGACCATTCGGCCTAGGAGCCCCATCTAGGCCATCTAGAGATCTAAAGATCTAGGTGGCCTGAATGCGCATCCAATCAACGTCGAAGGGTAGGCTCGAAGCAAACTAAACTACATACCCTCGTGCTCAATATCAGCTTTCTCGATCCCGAAAGACCCTAGGGGCAAAGCTCATGTTTGTGTTTGTCTTGTTCTGGGCAAGATCATTGGGTCTTCCCTGTGATAAGTTTGTGGTTCCACCGGCTTCGCGGATTAATCGTAATGGCCGCATGTCGGGTCTCGAGAAACATTTAGCTGCACAGAAGCACCAAAAAGGCTCTTGCCCACTACCAGGTTTCTGGCACTCAAAAAGCTTTACTGGGCAAGAGATGCTTTTCGGTTGTTTTGGGGGTCGCCGGGACCGCCACAAGAACATTCCAACGTATGAAGATCTGGGTGCTTACCTTTATGGCATACTGGGGTACGCATCCGAGCTTCACCACTGACCACGGGCATTGTGCAAAACTTCTGGTAATAACAATGAGAAGTACGACATTCCCGATGCATGGTTTCATTTTCTTTCGCAGCCCCAGTCGTACAACCTCCTGACTGTACTAAGATAGTAAATGATACCTGCGGTGGCCGTGCAAAATGCTAGCGGCCGAGCAGAGTGGTCATAAATCACCGTGCTCTCCTTATCACGCCCAGTCTTACTGTCTCCCGACTGAACAGTGCAGTCACAGAGGCGTGCGGCGGCGATGCCTAATAGCGGCGCAAGAGCAGGGCAATCTTACGGCGCTTCGTGCCTCGAAGCGCAAGATTCAGGGAACTGCGCCTCAGGCCTGGATCCCCGCGACCTCCTCGACCACGGCGTGTACGGTGGAGGGTGCGGACTTCCTCGTCGACGTCGCCCTCTTCCTGTGCCCCCACGGCTTCTTCTTTGCAGGCATAGCCTTGCTCCACGCGGCTGCCCTCTTGTTCTTTCCCTCTTTCTGTTTCGCGGCCAAGCCGACGTCCACCTTGACGAGGGACTTCCTGAGTGCGCCGCGGTTGGGCCCATTTCCGTTGGGCACAGAACCGCTCGGGCCATCCTCTCCGATAGGCAGCGATCCGTCTGGCCCGATGCCGTCCCTGAGACCGCCAGCAGCGATCTGGCCGGCCAACATCTCTGCGAGCCGCAAGGGCGGAAGCCGCGTGCCGAGCGACTCGTGCTGGGCGGCATGGACGAGCATGCGGTAGAGGGCGTAGACCTCCTTGAGCACGTGGACGCGGTCTTCGTGCTGCTGCCACACGCACCACGCCCAGCGCTTCATGTTCCTGTGCTCGGCCTCGTTCTGGGGCGTGCCCTGGACGACCAATTGCCCGCGAGAGAGCTGGGCGAACACCGAATTGTTGCGCAAGTAGTAGTAGTTCTTCGTGGAGCTCGCGCTCTCCAAAACTTTTCGGAGCGGCACGCCTTTGGAATTCTTCCTGTCCATGATCTTCTCGTGCTTCTGGACTATGCGCCTCAACTCGGCCACGTACTCCGCGTGCGAGACGAAAGGCTCGTTGCAGAAATCCGCCCAGTCCTTGTCGGCACGCTCGCGCGCGGGCTGCGCGTCACCCCAGACCACCTCGGGCATCGGGAGGCCATGGTAGATCTCCCTCGTCAAGTACTCCTCGGGCACGCCGAGAGGACGGGAAAACTTCCTCGTGAGCTGCAGGAACTCAAATGAGCAAGCCGTTCTCTTCCCGTCCGTGCACTGCTCGGCCCGCAAGGCAATGTGCAGTCTGTCCTGTGCCACGCCGAGACACCTCGGCAGATGCTCCAACATCTTCTCGCTCGGGGCGTCGGAGTAAAGCATCCGCACCTGCTCGACCGCAGCGGGGGTCAGCCGCTCCCTGACCGCTGCACCGAAGCTCTCCGTGCTCTCATCGGGCTGGACGCTGAATCCAGGGCAAGCTCCTGTCATCCCCATCAGAGTGTGGCCGACGTAGATCCCGCCTTTCTTCTGGTCCATTTTCTTCTGGCCGATGACCGAGAACAAGAACTTGAAGGTGCCATCGTGGGTCAGTGCCGTGAACTCGCCGCGGGCCACTTCCTCGCCCATGAGCCGTCGCACCGACAGCTGCGCCAGGCCGTCGGGGCGGCGGAACACGTGGTCCATGATCTCCCGCAAGAGCTGGGGGCGGCAGGCCAGGAAAGGCGACGTGCCGTCGCGGGACCACTGCCTGTGGAGATGGCCCATCACGCCATTCATCGCCCCGTGCGAGACCAAGGCCAGGCTGATCAGGGAATCCTCGAAGCCTTTGGTGTACGAGATCTTGGCGTTAATGCGGACGCAGTCAATGCACTTGGCGCGCAACCAGTACCGCGGGCCCGCCTCTGTGAAGACGAAGACGAGGTGGGCTTCGTTGGAGTGGCGCGCAGCCTCCAGCGCTTCCGCTGGAGCGTCGCGATTCCATTCTCGAAGCACACCGGCAGCGCGGGCCAGGTAGCCGCCGTCTTTCTGAGCCGCGCGGTTCAACACCGAGCAGACGCGGTCGAACCTGTACAGCGACATAGCGACCTTGAAGAGGGCATCGTCCTCCCGAGACGCGACGAACTTCGGCGGCCTGTGGTGCTTCTGGTGCTCGATGAGGTGCTCGCGGCGGCTGAACGATCGCCGAGGGCACAGGAGACAGCGGCATTGAACGCGGGATCGACATCCACCGACCTCGACCTGGTAGTCCGCGGCCTCCTTTCCAAGCACGTTGCAGAACATCTCCATGAATGAGGGCTCGTCGGGTTCGTCGGCGTCCTCCTCGCAGTCGGACGGCAACCCCACGTCGACTCCGCCTGGTTCTGCGGCGGCGATCGGCAGCTGCACATCGACTGGCGGACTCGCAGAGGCGCCTGCTTGCAGGTCCATCAAAGCATCCGTGGAGCGGGCCATGCTGCCGCTAATGCGGAAGAGCACGGCCAGGCGTTTATCGGCCGCGCCCCCGATCGCCCTGCAAAATTCGACCGCGCTAACCCTGCACTTGGACCGCCGTTCCTCGTGACCACAATGGGTGCCGATCAGATCGAACGTCTGCTCTGGTCCGTCCCCCCCCTGAACCACTGCCGACGCGCGGAGAAGCGCGCAATGAGCCTCCCCGCCAGGCTCGCTGTGCAAGAGGTAGTCGCCTGCATCCAGGGCGCGGCCCGATGCGAGCTGGAAGAGCACGTCCAGGACGCAGGCGCCGTGGAGCCTGATCTCGAAGTGCTGGGCGACCTCGCGATAGGAGCGCGAGTTTGCCTCTGGGGCTGGAAGGGGTGGCTTGCCGCACCCGCAGGATGCGACCACTGCGGCCTGGATGCAATTGCCATCGGTGAAGTACGACGCCATCTGGTCGGGGCCCCCAGGCCCGTCGTCGACGGGCAGCTGCTGTCCGCTCGCCGCAAGTGTCTCAAGCAACGAGCGCTCCTTCTTCGCAGCGAGGTGCATCTTGTAACCCGTCGCCTTGTGGACGTAGTTCTCAGCATCGGTGATGAAAGCGTGCGCGTCATCGAGCACGCCGACGTTCACCCCGATGCCGTCGAACTCCCAAGCGAGGTGGGACACCGCGCTGCCCCGCTTCTCCTGAACGAACTTCACCAACGCCTCGGTGCAGGCGTCCTCCGCCCCTTCGAGGAGCCTCGACACGCGCGTGAGCTCGGGGTTGTCCCTCTCGTCCTCGACGGCGGCCTTGAAAACGTCGGGCAGTGCAGACGATGCCGCCCAGCGGAGCACTCTCGCGTCCCGCTCCATGGCCTGGTACTGGTCGCCTGCATTCTTTTTGCCAAACAGGACGCTGGGCGCCAGGGTCTTCTTGGCGTCGATGTCGGGCCATGCGGCAACGGCCTCGATGGCGCGCCCTTGCTCCGAGGAGTGGCCGTTCAGATTTATCTTCATGCGCTTCATGACCTGGGGCGCGAGGGTCAGGAAACATTTGCGCCAGTCCAACTTCACGACGTCTGGCTGCACAATAGTCTGGATCTGCTTGCTCAGGCTCTGCGACGCCGTGCCCTCTGCGCGTCCCCTGCTGCGCACGCGCAAGTCCCCGATGGCTGAGAAGTGGTACTTGACCTGGAGATCCCCATCGCCGCCCTCACGTTCCTCGAGCAACTGGTTAGCCGCCGCCCAGGTTGACTTGAGCGACTGCTCGTGTCGCGACCACGCCTGAAATACTTCCAGGTCATCTTGCGAAGACCTGCTTTGCTTTCTGACGCCCGCCGCCCCTGCTTGCGCTGCCTCAAGATGCTTGATCAGCGCGTGGTGGTTGCGCTTCCTCTCCGGGCACCTCACGTAGTCCTTCAGGCGGTCCAAATTGAATTTCTCGGGGAAGACGGCCCCGATGGGAATCGCGAGGTTGTCAATGTCCGGGAACAGTGCGCTGAGGTCGGCGTCGGCGCACAAGGCTGGATAGTAGTAGGGGACCTTGCGGCCCCATTGTCGCACTACGGGTTTCCACATGGCCGCGGCCTTCATGCGGTCCCAGGCATCCTTCTTGTCAGACTGCCGCCCCCCCTTGATGCAAGCCCCCGCCTTCGCGCGCTCTCGCTGGCTGTCCGTCATGCAGGTGTCCTCGTCGAGATGCATGACGGCAAGGAGCGTGGAAGCCCGAGAGAGTGGATCCGACGCGGCGTCCGCCTGGTCGCCGTGGCCACGAAGCCCGCCAGCCAGGCCAGCTCCGTCGCGGCCGTCCGACGCCCTGATGTCGTTCAGGAACTCTTCGTTCATTGCAGCGCGCGCTGGTGAGGGATTGTCCAGCTTGTCGTAGGCCGCGGACGCCGAGTACTTCTCGATGAGAGGCAGGATGCCTCGGGTCATGTGGATGAAGCCCGCCACGCCAGATGAGGCCCAGTCCTCCAGTTCGGGGTCAGCCAAGA